TTTACAAAACATTAGATATTCTAACTGAAAATTTACTGATTAAGACCAGTTATTAATAATATTAACAACCAATGTTTCACAGGGGAGTATGACATCTCCAAGACTGAAGACACAGAACAGAATCTGGAGGTCACCCGTTTAATCTCTCATCCAAGTTATAACTCCAAGTTAAGCCTCTACAATCATGACATTGCCTTGTTGCGGCTGCGCACCCCCATCCAGTTTACTCCGACGGTACGTCCCATCTGCCTGGGACCCATGCTCTTCTCCAACTCACTGCTGAAGTCTGGATCTCTGGCCACTGTCAGCGGCTGGGGACGTCTGCGCTTCCAAGGACGAAGTGCAGAGACTTTACAGAAGGTTGAATTGCCTTACGTGGACAGAACAGCATGTAAGGAAAGCAGCAGTGACCTAATCACATACTTCATGTTCTGTGCGGGATACTCTGATTCTCCTAAAGACGCCTGTCAGGGGGACAGCGGAGGACCTCATGCCATGCGCTACCACAACACCTGGTTCCTCACAGGCATTGTCAGTTGGGGAGAAGAATGTGCTAAGAAAGGGAAGTATGGGGTGTACACACAGGTTGGGAACTATTATCGTTGGATACAGCATGTGATGGGTGTTAGTAAGGGAGTACTGTCTACAAATGTGGACCAATGATCTTGAGTTCTCTTCAAGTCTCAGAGAAAGCAACATTCAAACCTTGAGAAATTGAGTTGATGTTTGCCTAATCAAGTCAAATAATTTTTTTTGATCGTTCCTAATCCATAGATCCCATTGTAATGGCTTGTAATCATGGTCCGTCTCTTATGACCTGGCCGGCCAATGAGAGATTCCATCATAATAAGCCTGAGCAGCATTTCATCAATTATGCATGACTTAGTGTCTTCACTGTCCCATAAGGACATTTAATAATCAATAATTATTCTCAGTAGCACAGTTTTTTCTCCTGTGGTCTAATGAAAGCAAGCATGTTATTAAGGAAAGTAGTCTTGCTGCATGGTTTGAACCTCTTATTCAGACAGCAAAGGAAACCTTAATGTTGCCCATCAGGCTTTGAACTTCACTGCATAAGAGGGAAACTAGAGGATAGCTGAGAATATCTGACACTAGAAGCCTACATAAAGAGTTCAACAGCGTTCTGAAAATCACTGGATCTTACCCATAACTGGAAGCCTTGGCTCTCTCACATCTCACTTGTGAAAGATCCTTTCATCATTTGAGTCTAGTTTCTTGGAGATACCATCACAGTTAGTGTTTATGATGTATATGTGTTTTTGACTCTAATGCTAAGAAATCTAAAAATCTAGTAGTTGTAAATTAAACCATTATTAATAATATATTATATATACACTACTGTTCTAAAGTTTGGGGTTAGTAAGCTTTTTAATTCATATATATTATTTTATCTGAATGTTTTCACTTTTATTCAGCATGGACACAATAACTGATTAAAAGTGACAGTAAAGACATTTATGATGTTATAAATGGTATCTATTTTAAACTAAACTTTATATCCATCAAATAATCCTGGATTTCTTTTAATCATGATTTCCACAAAAAATGTTTTTTTTTACGACATTGAAAATAAGAAATGTTTCTTGAGCACCAAATCAGCACATTATGATGATTTCTGAATGATCATGTGACACTGAAAACAATGGAAAATGGTTCTTTTGACTTGTAATATTTTACAGTATTTTTTTATATATTTTTATATTTTACAGTATTCGTTTTATTTTATTTTTTTACTTTAGTTTCACTTTAAATCCTGCCTGGGTGAGCATAAGAGACTTTTAAAAGTATTTATTTAAAAAATATATATATATTTTTTTAATTATTTGATAAATTTTATTTCTTAATTTTCAATAGGCTGTACAAATTTACAGTAAATATATCATTGTTACAAATACAATACAACCGTCAATACAGGTACATTCCTTTAAAAATAATAATTTAGAAGCCAGTCCCAAAAAAACTAAAAATCAGCATTAAGTGTAATTAGATAAGGGTCCAAAAGTCTGGGACCACAAGTGAAAACGTTTCCGTTTTGCATTATTTCTATGTTTAGACACATTTTTCATTATAAATTATATTTTGGATAAAAAATTGAACAGAAAATTTTACATTAACATTAAGGAAAAACCTGATGATCACATTAAATATATAATATATATATATATATATATATATTCATAGATTTTCAATGTGGTCTCAGACGTTTGGACATGAATGAGCCTGTAAATATGCAAAACTGACAGTACATACAGTATGGCTAAAGCCCCGTTCACAGCAAGGACGATAGCAACAACAATAAAGACATAGTTCTAAAATCCATTCTAAATATAAAAAGAACAGCAGAGTCCACACCATAAAGATTCTGACACAGAGGAATGATATCCTGGAAAGAATGCATCCTGCTTTAAAGAGCATTTAAAGCTGCAGACAAGATGCAGGGCATGCTTGAAATAAACAGAAGGACATCGTCCACTGGTGTGTATGCTACCACAGTTATCATTATAGTTATCGTTCTTGATGTGAACAGGACTTAGTACAGCACAGGCATATATCCTTTATGTGGCTTGATGCTGGAAGGGAACAACTTGATAGCGAAATTAATTACATAAGAGATATGTACTTCACAGCGTCTCCTGCTGGGACACACAGCTCATTTCCACTTCAAACGCTGGAATATCAAAGTCAGCCCTCCAACTGTGGGCCTGAGTTTATGTAGTAAATTCATATAAGGCTTCAATTAATATTTAATTAAGCATTCGAAACATTAATGTTTGCTGTATGATCTCACTTAATAAGAAACCTCCACTAACACGGCTCTGATTTTGCCGCAGCACGTGGCACCATGATTGTGACAAGAAACAAACATGAGCTCTATTCACCCCCTCATGACTCATATTTGTTAACTTTACATGACGCCCCCCAGGTCTTCAAGCTGGCGGAGTACAAACTGTACCTGACAAGAGAATTTTCCTAAATAAGAGAGGTAAGAATTGACGGCATGCAAAATTCAACTGGTTTAAAGCTGTAGAGAGACACAAAAGACCACAAATTTGTGTTACCTGAATAAAGTGCTTTGAAATTTTTTTTTGAGGTAACTAGTGGAGTAGATTAAATAAAAGTGGGGAAATGGGGATTATGGCACTGCATGATTTGGCATTAAAGCTCTCAGGTAGAGCTCCATTTGTTCAAAAAGGATAACTACAACAATAGTAACAGTACATGATAAATAACAGCACATACGCACAGTTTAAAAATCCAGGCCCTTACGAACACAATGTTTTCAAGGGTGTAGACAGGGCCACAAAGCCAGATAAGAAGAGGTTTTGATGGGCCTTGAGTCATTAAAAAAAACGGTCAAGTCTACTGGGACAATCCCATAGTCACAATGTTATAGGCTTCATGTAGTCAGGAGGACTGAAGTGCTTAGGCAGAGGACAGATCTTTAAGAGCGCTCTCTGGGTTTTCTGAAATGGTGCAGATCTCGTAAGGTGTAAAAATCCCCAATATGTATTTTGCATTTTAGTAGTGTCTGATCGCAGTGACAATCAGAACAAGAATGTTGGAATATAATCCTGCTGGTCAAGTCTGAATCTGCGTGGTCGCATCCAATATGAGCTACCATGTGTGAATGTGAAGGTCCAATTTAGCACTAGATGATTTCTTCACGGTGAGCTGAGCTTCCGCGCTTTACGATTCCCTGGATCTGCAGAGAAGACAGGGCAGCATAGATCATACGCAACAAGGAAGCTTTCGTCTCTTCAGGGAACTACACTAAACGGGCAGCAGATGTCCAAATGGACTCTCACCTCCAAGCCGGTTGGAGTGATTCTTGATGCAGTCTCCCAGAATGCCCTGCAGGTTGGCAGTAGGGATATGGCCTTCTTGTCTGCGACTCAGATTCTTCACCAGCCTGTGACAGTTCACATGTTTGAATGTTACGAAGTAGAATACAAATAAATTGAAATTTTTTGTGCCTCAAAGGAATCTAATTCTTTAATTCTGAATTTTGCAATAAAACCCTTCCCCAACCCTAGTTAAAATGGTTCTTTTTGATAATAGGACTACATTTCTCACAATGCTTCACATTTAAAGGAACACATTTAAAAGATCGCCAGTCACGTTTGCTACACGGGGCACCTAGCTATTATACAAAATTCTCTTTTACATGGTATTTGAACACGTGTGTTGGCAGTGTGTTCACAAACAACCACCCTATAATGATAAAAATCCACCTAGTGCTTTTTAAATCCCCATAAATCATAAGCAGAGTTTCAGAACAAGCCACTTCTGGGAAATGTAACATACTTTTGCACAAGCCCCTCCCACGACTGTTGACTGACACTGCCGTATAAGAGTAGACCCGCCCTGAGTGAGCTAAACACCGTCCGCCATTTTTTCGAAGCCCAAGCAGCTGTAGACAAGAATGTCTTCTAAGCAACTGAGATGTTTTATTGTTGAATATAAGCATGAACATCAGAGCCGGATGAAGAAAGTGGATTTGTTTACTGCTAGTTCTAACAAGTGTTTTGAGTAATTTTCTGTGTATGTAATTTGATCGCATTGGAGAGAGATAGTTGGTGGATAAGATTTTAATGCTCACCCCCCAAAAGTGGCAGTTTTAACATGCTGTAAAAAATTATCGCTGGGGTATTTTCAGCTAAATCTTCACATACAAACTCAGGGGACATCAGAGACTTATTTTACATCTTGTAAAAAGGGGCATAATTGGTTCCCTCTAAACACTATTTTTTGTTTTTACACATTGAAAGAATCAAATTCATGATTCTGTTTAGTTTAAATGGATAGTTCACCCAGAAATGAAAAGTCTGTCAATAATTACTCTACAATAAACCTGTATGACATAAAATATGATGCTTTTAATGAATGTTAGGAACTAAACAGTGACTATTGATTTTCATTGTATGGACATACAAACATTGAGGCATTTCTCAAAGTATCTTTTCTTTTGTTTTCTATAAAAAAGTCATACAGGTTTGGAATGACATGAAGATGACAGAAGTTTAAATTTTTCGATGAACTATTCCTTTAAGTAACATTTGACAAGTGGCAATATCCCTTTATGTTCCCCACACATTACTCACCACTGGCCATCATTTTCCTCATGCTGTAGTTGTATGATATCACCACACTTAATGATCAAGTTATCCATCCCGGTTTTCCTCCAATCGACAAAGGCCCTGTATCTGCCTGGAACCTAAAACAAAAGTGAAGGCTATAAAAAAAACGAGCGTCAACCTACACGAGTAACCACATCTGAAATAAATGATGTCTCACCAGATGGGCGGTGTCCTCCTCCTCAGTGTCAGACGGGTTAGAGAGGCTGTTTGCTCCACTCCAGTCCTCCAGACCTTCACAGATATCTACAAAATAAGGTGCACCCGGCCAGCCTACACAAACACACCGCATCCATGCTTCAGTGTAAACCCTTGCATTATGATTCATGAAACGCATTAAAAATTCAATATACGGTCTCTGATTAACTCAACTAATTCTGACAGCCTGCGCCAGCTTAGAAATCATGTGTGGGTGGAGAAATCACACGCTCCATCATGTTTACTGTTTGTGTGTGGCTTTGAGCTTTGGCTAGAAGTTTGCAGTGATGAGGATAAAAGTGTGTAATGTCTAGGATCAGCTTAAACAGTAAAAATTACACTTCAACTATGCTGCTTTGAAAGTGTTTATAAGCATATGTAAGTACTTACAATTGAGTTTGTACAATAAGATTACACTTGCTCTGTGTACTGTTGGCCTAACACATTCATGTCTGCATTGTATACTTAAACAGCACACTTAAAGGGTTAGGTCACCCAAAAATGAAAATTATCAAGCCATCCTAGGTGTATATGACTTTCTTCTTTCAGCCAAACATAATCAGAGTTATATTACAGAATAACCTGCCTCTTCCAAGCTTTATAATGGGAGCGAATGGTACCTTAGATTTTGAAGCCCAAACAAATCTATCTATCAATCTATCTATCTATCTATCTATCTATCTATCTATCTATCTATCTATCTATCTATCTATCTATCTATCTATCTATCTATCTATCTATCTATCTATCTATCTATCTATCTATCTATCTATCTATCTATCTATCTATCTATCATAAAAGTAATCCATACGGCTCCTGGTGATTAATAAAGGCCTTCTGAGGTGAAGCTATGCATTTTTGTAAGAAAAATATCAATATTCATTACTTTATAGACTAGAATCAATGGCTTCCAGTACCGGCCGTACACAAGTCTAGTGCCGGCATACAGTAAGAGTGACCTCTGACCCGACGCATTACGTACTGACGAACACGGAAGCACAGTTGATAGAGCAAAACAAAACATCGGTCACCAATGAAATGTCGAAGAGCTTGAGTTTGTTGACCAGCCCTATTTTTTTGAGTGATTACAGTTTAGTTGAAGTTATAATTATGGATATTTTTCTTACAAAAACTGATCACTTCACTTCAGAAGGCCTTTATAAATCCTCAGAAGCTGTATGGGTTACTTTTATGATGGATGGAAGCAC